GCAGCAAGCAGCAGGCATACAGGGAGAAGAAGATAAAGCACTGAACAAAAGTGAGAGTTCAAAGAGAAGCATTATTTGTCTCAGTAGGAGCCCTTTCCAATTTTATGCTCCCTCCTGTGCCTAGCTGGATGCTACCACTGGACATTGCTATGAGGTATAGCAATGCTTTTAGCAGAGTCCACCTTAAGGACAGGGGTCATTCTGGGTTTTGTTGTGTTTTATTTTGATATGTCTCTTCCTTCTGCATTGAGAGAGGGGAATGTCTGCTCAGGTTGACCTGACTCCACCTGAATCAGATTTCACTTCCCCATCCTTCATTCGCTGAAGAATTCTATTTAGGACAATGATCCTCACATCTCAGGAAGAGGAATTGTGGTGTGCCAGTTAGGTGACATCAGAGGTAAGTGAAAGGGAAGTACATTTAGGGAACACTGAGCTAGCTGAGAGGCTCAACAGGATAAAGCCCATACAGGTTCAATTCATTCAACTGGCTGAACTGTGAATTAGTTTCCTGCTAAGCAATATTATGAAGCCAGGAGCTTTCACTGAGATTTGGCTTAATGTTAGGCTCAGAATTCAGAGTTAGCATTGAGCACAATGTGCACTAAGGCTACTCAGGGGTCAGCACCACTTAGATAGTCCTTCATCTCTGAATCTGGACCCTTTAGGTTATAGAACTCTCTTCTATAGGAGCTTCACAAAAGGAAGAATGGAAAGGCTAATGTATTCCTCTCTGCAATGCCATTTCACTGTAGAAAATGAAATGATTCCATTCAGCTTCAGTTAATCCCATTATCAGTCTGCAAACTGATAAGTTTTATCTGAAGAGTTCTAAAGCCTCTAAGTGCCTTTCTGGGAAATCGGAACATTTGCTCTCCTCATAACATCTAACTTTGTACCAGAGAAACTCCATGAGTGAGAGATAAACTCAGGAATATATACATGAATTTCATATTCATTATCTCATTTTATGATCACAACTCTTCTGTGATGCACACAGGGCAGGTATTTTTTCCCCATTTTACAAAAGAGGGAACTAAGGTTCAGAAGAAGTTAGGTGAATTACACTGATTGAATTTGAAACCTGAAATGAACTTCAGGTAACATCTCAACTACTCATTTTATAGATGAATAAATTTTGGTGAAGCAATTTGCCCAAGATCAGAGAGCTAGTAAGTGAGAGACTTGGTAGCTTAGCCCAAATCTGCTGACTCCAAATCCAGTCCTCTTGCCATTAGACCATGTTCCTTTTCTGAAGCATTTTGGGAACATATGGGTATACCACAGTAGTAATCTTTTAACAGTGGTCTTTTCTCAGACCAACACAACCTTGCTGTTGTGCTTATTTGAGCTGCTAGACTCCCACAGTTAGCAAGACTGCCCCCTACGTTATCAGGACTATTGATATCTTCTTTGCAACAACCACTGTCCAATCAAGGTTCTGATTGGGCAAGGTTGAGCATCCATGGATCACTCAGAGCTCAGGGGTTCAAATAAGTCATCCTTTTACTAAAATATATATTCCCCTATTTTCAGGTGGAAAAAATCCCAAAGTGGTTAAAAACAGTTCAGAAAGATAAAAACATAAGTCATTGACAAGGAGATAGCGAGATAGACCTTCCTTCAATTCCTCAAAGATACAAAAAATGTCAATCAATCAGCAAGCATTAATTATACATGTACTATGTACAAGGCACCAGCCCTGGGGATAGGAAGGCAAACATTAAATACTCCCTCTCCTGAAAAAGCTTACATTCTGAACATATGTGAGTGCAAATGATGAGGAAAGGTGCCATGTAGGATGGAGCATTTAAGACGAGTTTTGCAAGAATCTAGAAATTTGGGGCAGCTAGGTGGCGCAGTGGATAGAGGACCAGCCCTGAAGTCAGGAGGACCTGAGTTCAAATCTGACCTCAGACCAAACATTTGACACTAGCTGTGTGACCCTGGGCAAATCACTTAACCCCAATTGCCTAAAAATGAAGACCAAAAAAAAAGAATCTAGAAATTCTAAGAGGTGAGAGGAGTGTGAATTCAAGGCATGAGTAACAGATTATGCAAAGGCATGAAGATGGGAACTAGAACATCATGTCCAGCATCAAGTAAGCAATCTATTTTGACTGAAATATTGAATATGTGGAAGGTATGAACACATAACCCTGGAAAAGTACACTGAAGCTAGATTTCTAAGGGTATGAAATGCTAAATAGAGGAGTCTGTATTTTGTCCTAAAAGCAAAAGAGAGACACTAGAACCTCTTGAGTGTAAGGCTGACATGGTCAGACTTTAGCTTTAGGAATGTCATCCTGGCCACTTTCTGGAAGATGAATTGGAGAGGAGAGAGGTTGGCTATGGGGAGAGCAATTAGGAAGCTATTACAAAAGTAGGAAAGAGGTGACAAGGGTCTGCACTACTGGCTATGTGGTGGGGTAATGACAGAAAATACAGAGTTGGGGTGGACTCTGAAGTTTTAAAACTGAATGCCTAGTAGAATGGTTGTATATTCTATGTACAACCTCTGTGTATGGAGATTGGGAAGTCACTAACAGGAGTGGTTTTGGGAGGAAAGATTAATAAGCTTTGTCTTACACATGTTGGGTTCATTATGCCTAGAGGAATTCAATTAGAGATGTCGGGTAGGGATGTGACAATGGACAAGTAGACCTTGGGAGATAGCTAAGGGCTGGATCTTGGAGTTGTCTGAAAAGGGATGGTAATTGAAACAATGAAAGCTAATGAGATCACTGAGAATGTCTAAAGACAGAAAAGAAACACTTATGAAAGAACCTTGGGGTACAGGCACAATCGGTTAGGGGGCAGGCTATGGATGATGTTCCACCAAAGAGGTTTAAAAAGGAGTGTCTGGATAGATGATAAAGATGATAGTAGCTAGCATTTATGTAATACTTTAAGGCTTTGTAAGTATTTTATGAGTATTACCTCATTTTATCCTCACAACAACAATGCATCCTCATTTCACAGGTGAGAAAACTGAGGCAGACAGAAGTTAAGTTTGTTGCCCACTGTCACACATTTAGTAAATGTCTGAGGCCAGATATGAACTCCAGACTTCTTAATTCCAAATCCAGCACTCTATCCTCTAGGGCACCTAGTTACCTAATTAGGAGAGCCAATAGAAGGTAATGTCTTGAAGAGGGGACAGTATTCAGGAGGAAAGGGTGTTCATCTCTGTCAGTGTTATAGAGATGTCAAGAAGATGAGGATGGAGAAAAAGTATCACATTTAGCAATTAAGAGATCATTGGAACTTTGGAGAAAGAAGTTATGGTTGAATGATGAGGTCAAGAAACTGGACTACTCAACTGGAGTTGAGAATTGAGTGAAGTAAAAGTGGAAGCCAAGAGCAAAGACAGTAATTTCTTCTAGTTTGACTGTTAAAGGGAAAAGAGATATAGAGCAGTGGCATTAGGAAGTGGAAGAGCCAAGTGAAAGCCTATATTTCTCAGTAATGTACAAAGCAAGATCCTTCGCAGGGTCACAAGGAAAACAAGGGTATAGGATCCTTGTGGTAACAGTTGGATGACTTTCTTCCTCCATGATCCAGGGTTGGGAATTGACCAGGCCTGGGCAGTGACATAGGATCAGGAGGCTATGTATTCAAGGGTGGAAGAAAATATAAAGTTGAACTACAGGGTTACAGCAGGAAAATGTGAAGCATGAATCCATATTAAAGGAGATGGCCAGTAGCACATTGAGAAATAGAAGGAATGGAGACCCTAGCAAGGACAAAGAATACTTTTAAGAGGATGATAGTTTTACATGTAAAGAGAGCTTAATCTGAGATTTGTTCAGGCTTCATCAATCTAAGAAAGTTATTCCCACAGAATAGTAGAGGATAGCATGACACAGCGTTTTACAACTTAGTTAAGTATTAAACTCAACAAACATCTATTGCATATCCACAATGTTCAACGCCCCTCTCTTAGTCAGTTTTCCCATCTATGCAATGTCCTTAAGTCCCTTCTATCTCTATTATGCTAATAACCCTTGAGCTTTGGTGATGTTCCAGGTTACTAGTACTAAAGAGTCGCTATAATTGTAAGTTTTAGAACCCTCAGAGTGTGAAACGACATGCGATAATGGGCAATATGGAGTTTTATGCTTACATACATGCAAATGTGCTTACAAACATGAACAGGCACATTTCCAATAGTCCATGAAAGAGTGGATGGGGTGGAAAAGAGGAGTTAGTTAGTAAAGTGGCCTTTAGTAGCAACAAAAGAAAATATTGATAATAATAAGGAAAAGTGAGATAGCTCTATTACTAGACTGAGCATTTAAAGTTTGTGGTAGAATGTATGCCTCTGGAAGCCATTAGAGAAAAACTAGACCAGTCACCCACTGGGTTGAGGTTAGATAGAATCCTTTTAGCTCAGATAAAAAGCTGGACTGATGACTTTTCTGAACTCTGTTTATCAAAACAGACAGCAAAGGTCAACCTAAAGGGATTTTGTGTATTCATTTCATATTCTGCCTGCCCTTAATTCAATAACACTAGTAAGCTTTGAGGTTGACTGAAAAGAAATGGGAAGGAACATTCCACCACAAAGATAGGGTTTACATCAAAGAAACAAGTATCCAAGGAAGCAGCAGGTTAGCTACTGAACTACAGTAGCAACAAACCCCCAAACCTAAATGATAACATTGATGGGCATCTTGAGGAGCCTCTGATTCATTTTCCCTTTTTTATTCCTTTTCTCCTCTTTCAAAATGTCTCACTGGGTTTCTCTTTGTGTGTCTCTGTTTTTGTTTCCCATTCTCTCTGGGTATGTCTCTCTATGTTTTTCTCTTTATATCTTTTTCTCTCTCTCTGAATCTACTCTATTTCTTTTTCTCTCTCTTAATTTTATCTTATTTCTTTTTCTTTTCTGCTATGTCTCTTCTTTTACAGTTTATTTATGGTCTTCATTCCAATTCCTTCCCCTCCTCCCAAAGCTCTTTTTCTGTTCTTTTAAATACAGGTGACTCTGGTCAGAAAATATGGGAAATCTGAGCCATCCATCTGAGTTCATCCTCTTGGGCTTCTCAACATTTGGCAAGCTGCAGGTTGTGCTCTATGGGCCCTTCCTGATGCTTTATCTCCTGGCTCTTTTAGGGAACATAATCATCATTGTCATGGTTCTTGCTAATGCCCACTTACATACCCCCATGTACTTCTTCCTGGGAAATTTTGCTTTAGTTGACATCTTGGTCACCATGACTGTAGTACCCAAGATGCTGTCAGACCTCCTTGTCTCCACCAAGACGATTTCCTTTACCACCTGCATGGTCCAATTCTACTTCTACTTTTCCTTTGGCTCTACCACTTCCCTCATACTGGCAGACATGGCTCTGGACCGCTTTGTGGCCATTTGTCACCCACTACGTTATGGCACCCTTATGAGCTGGGCAGTATGCACCCATCTGGCAGGGGCAGCCTGGGCAGCACCCTTCCTCGCTATGGTTCCCACTGTTCTCTCTCGGGTACAGCTCTCCTATTGCCATGGCAACATCATTAACCACTTCTTCTGTGACAATGCCCCACTGCTACAGCTAGCCTGCTCAGATACATCCCTCCTAGAGTTCTGGGACTTCGTATTATCTTTGGCCTTTGTCCTCAGCTCCTTCCTGGTGACGCTTATGTCCTATGGCTACATCGTGCCCACCGTGTTGCATATTCCTTCTGCCAGTGGCCGCCAAAAGGCCTTCTCCACCTGTAGTTCCCACCTCATCCTGGTCTTCATTGGCTTTGGCAGCACAATCTTTATCTATGTTCAACCTGGCAAGGCTCACTCTGTGGAACTCAACAAGTTTGTTGTTTTAGTCACTAATATTCTGACTCCTGTCCTCAATCCCTTCATCCTCACTTTTCGCAATGAGGCAGTCAAGGCTGTTATCCATGGACAGATGCAGAAGCTTAAGAGCCTGAACAATTTAGCATGAGTGGGAGGGTTGGGTGTATCCAGAAACATAAAATGTGAGGGACTAACTGCAAAGAAAAGGGACAGTCCATGGCAACTCATGAGAAATCAGGTCAACAAATTTCCTTCCTCCTTTATGGGTGTGGTTAAGCTAAGATTACATTTTATACCTATGTTTTTAAATGCAATTTTTTGTATATTTTATTATTTTTAAAGCTGTTTTATTGAATACTATAATATTTAAAAAGGAAAATAAATTCTTTGAAAACTTAATTATTAAGATTTTTCTTATATCCTGGATAGAGCTTGACCAACTAATTCTCTGTTAGAAATACGTATCTTCTTCAGAACAAGAAATAAAAAAAAAGGTCATGTTGAGGGTTTTCTTTGTTGTAGTTGTTCAGTGGTTTCAATTGTGTCAGACTCTTTGTGATCCCATTTGGGGTTTTCTTGGCAAAGATACTGAACCAGTTTGCCATTTTCTTCTCCAACTCATTTTATAGTTGAGGAAACTGAGGTAAACAGGGTTAAGTGACTTGCTCAAGGCCACATGCATAGTAAATATCTGGGGTCAGATTTGAACTCAGAAAGATGAGTCTTCCTGATGCCAGACCTGGCACTTCATCCATTGCACCACCTAGGGTACAGTGTGTTTAATCCCATTGAAAACATTTTTCATCCCCATGAACTAGTTCAATTACAACTTTGTTCAGTTACAAAACTTAAGAAAACTTAACCTAAATTAAGTGAAGTTATTCTCTTTAGAAATGATAATATTTAAAATTCTTATATTTGAAAATAAATGACTTAACTTTTCAAAAATAATAAAAATGTGTGCCTGAATGCCAATGTACTATTTATAAACAAAATGAAGCCCAGTATCTCTGTGACTTTGTTGTTGTTGTTGCATCTCTGTGGAGATCCTACAGTCCAGAAAATTGTCTAAAGAAGATGATAGTTGAAGCAGAAATTGAGAGATGCCAGTAGTCAATAAATATTAATTAAGCACCTACTATGTGCCAGGCACTATGTTAAGCACTGAGGATACAAAAAGAGACAAAAGATAGTCCCTTTCCTCAAGGAGCTCATATTTGAATGAACGAGTTAACTAGCAAGCAAATATGTAAAACAAACTATGTACAAGATAAATAAGAAATGATTAAAAGAGGAAAGGCACTAGAATGAAGAGGGATTGAGAAAGCCTTCCTGTAGAAGATAGGATTTTAGCAAGCATCTGAAGGAATTGGGGAAGTCAATAAGCAGAGATGAGGAGGGAGAACATGGAGGAAATGCCCAGAGCAAAGAGACAAAATGGCTTGTTCATTGAATAGCCAAGAGGCCAATGTCACTCGTAGGCAGCACGGTCTAAGAACAGCAGAAGAAAGAGTAGGGAGAAGACACTGGGTTATGAAGGGCTTTGGATGACAAACAGAGGATTTTGTGTTTGAACCTGGAGGTGATAGGGAGTTTATTGAGTAGGAGTGGTGCTCAATCAGATACTGTACCTACTCTGTCTAAGACAGAGAGGACACAGTAGAAGCTGTCCTGCGTCAAGTGTTCTGTGACTGGAAGGCAGGAGGACAATTAAAATGGGTGATATCTGTATGCTTCTATCCTTTTGCCTTTTTCTACTCTTTCTTTTTTTCTTTTTCTCTCCTGCTTCTTTCAAAATCCTTTCTCTGTCCTCGTGATATGAACTTCCTCTGGGATAGAAGTACACTGAGATTCAAGTAGGACACTATAGAAATTGGACTGAAATGGACAGTGAGGATTGGAGCCATAATTGGAGCCAACATCACCAAAAGCAACTGCAGTCTGGCAGCCAAAATGACTGCCATGTGCCTGCAGGTAGTGAAATGAGAGACACTATCTTCTCTACTTTCCCTTTTCAATCTATGGTCCTAGGGTGGGAGGAACAATCACCCCTTTGCTTGCTTTTTTTCTGTGAATTTCAGCTGAGTGTTATTTTATCTCCCCCTTTTCCACCCCCACCCCCACCCCGATTCCTATCCACACCTAGAGAATTGGAAGGAAGCAAGGAAGAAGGTTAGGAGATGGAAATTGTTAGTGGTGAAAATCTCCATATAGAAATCTTTTCAGTTGTATTTTATATACAATAAACTATGTTATCACAGGATGCTAAATCACTGAATCTTCTAGTATATGGAAAGGTCACCTAAAAGAATAAAATATGTCATGCGTAACCCTCATCCCAAAGCCCATTGGCATGAAATTCTCTCCTTATTGCTGGGGATCAAAACCCTATGCCCCCCGATTCAGAAATGGAGCATTGATCTCTACCAATAAGGAGACAGTCCAATACCAATGAGCTTTGGGACTGGGGTTACACATGTAAATGGAGGATCAGAGAGATATAGACTGATTTCACATTTAAATATTTTAGGCAATATTCTATTTTATCCCCAATGTTACATTGGAAGCCCAACCAGCATAGGATTAATCAAAGTTGCTTCGGAGCTATGTACCAAAGGGAAAGCAGGTCATGTTGGTGATGTAGCTGAGGTGTCTTCAGTCTGTGCACTCTGGAGCAACCAGTGATTCTATGTGGACTGTTATAAGTAAAAATCTCTCCTGAACTGACCAGAGAGCAACTGATAAGGATAGGGTAACTCAAGTTTGATGCTACTTGATTACCAATTTAGATAGAGGTCTCTGATAATTAAACTCTTTTGCTGGATAATTAACACAGTAACACAGTCTCCCTTTGGGCTCAAGAAATGCATGCATGAGCCATAGAAAAGTGTCACAAAATAAAACGAAAATAAAAGGCAATTTCCTCTGTCTAATCACACCAACTGGCCTGTTCCTAGACCAGGCCTTTCTCTCCCTTCATCCTGACAAGCCCTCATACCTTAGAGGATTTAAAAATCACCTGATCCACATTAACCTTTCCTGACTTAGTCTCCAGTTATATTTTTTGGCAAGAAGTCTTGTTATTTATAACTTCTACTCTTGAATCAACTTTCCTCTTCTTAACTTATCTGAGGAACAGCTCCTGATCTCCAGCCACTACCAAACTAATTCAACTACTCCATTTCTTCAATTATCTTCTACTGCCAATCCATATTCTATCATAATCCTCCTCCTCCTCCTCCTCCTCCTCAACATCATCATCATAATACTAAATGATAACAATAACAACCACTGGTTGGTTGTTGCCCTTCATGCTCAAAGAAGACCAAAATGACATCATTATGTCAGGGTCAAGGTACAGTGTGTCCAACCAATTGCGGCTGATCAGACCAACATGATCTTGGAAGGCTCTACCACAGATCAGGCACAAATAGTCCGCATTACCATTTAGAATGAAGATGTTTCTAACTTTGCTCATCTCACATTTCTTTTGAGCTACTGCAATTCTGCTTTGCAACAATAACAACAACAACAACAATAATAATACCAAACATAGATATTTTGATTTATAGTTCACATGCATTTTCTTGAGTTTATGCTCAAAGCAATTTTGTGAGAAGATTGGATCTGATGGTTTCAAAAGTTCCTTACAACTCTAATTCCTCTGATCCCATGAAGTATGAAGGGGAATCATCTTTGTACCCTTTTTATAGACATAGGAAACTGAAACTCTCAGTAGTTAAGTGACTAGTGGCCATGGTCACAAGACTTGCAAGTGACAGAACTAGGATGAAAGCCCAATTATTCAAACAGCTAATCCACTGCTCTCCCCTCTGAGACCTATTGGAAGTGGGTCATGAAGGTCTTACAGCTTTTTGTGGTCACTTATTTACACATTATGCATTAACTCTTAAAAATCCCTCTAATTTGAGCAGATACAGCCTAGACATGGCTGTATCAAAGGTTAGAGTTAATGATACCACAGTAGTTTCACATATCAGCAAGCAAGACAATGGAGACTTTTCTTTACCCCCAGAGCTGACTTTGTGTTTAGGGTATGTAGTTGCCTATATAGTATGATTTGAGAACCATTGAAGGAACTCCCCTTTTTCAAAATATATTTTACATCCATCTGTCACAGTATAAGATTCTACTAACAGGAATTCAACCCTTAAATTAATTAGCTTAGGTTGTTTTGTTATTGGAAAAATATGCCAAACCCTCATCAGTCGTTTACACCTTAGAATGAGGTAGTTCATCAGAACAATTTCCCTGTGACAGCCAGAACAAGAACAGGTTACTGAGGGAAGGGGGACTTTAGTGGAGAAGACCATTGCCCTGGAAGGCCAGGTCTGATTTAAGGCAAGAGGCTTCAGTGGGTAACATGAGTATATTGTACCCCACCCCAGGGAAGAAAGCTAGAAAATAAAAAGGAGGTGTAAGTACTGCAATGGAGAAAACTTTGTCAAGTTATCCAGCATCTTTGTCAAGAAAACCTCAAATGGGGTCATAGTCAAATATGACTGGCATGATTGAACAACAAGTACCACAAAGATAAATTTGGCTTACTTTATGTACAATTTTCTCTTCTCCTTGACATAATCCTACTTCTAGCTTCTGTTAGAGGAAGATTATGAAGTTAGCAAAAAAAAGACTTTAAGAAAAAGAAACAAATTGTGAAGGTGATGTGGAGATATTGGGCATTTCAACCTGCAGAGGAGAAATTTGAGAGGAAAAGTTGAAGGGGAAAAATCTCCAAGTTCAAATTCTATTTCCTGTTTCTCTAAGAGAAGAATGCAGGAAGAGACCATAAGAAAGGAGACCATAAATAAGCTTAATAAGGAGAAAGTGTCAAGGTGATTTTGAGGGATTTGGACATAGTTTGGGACAGAGATTGAACTTGTCAGATAAAAAATTTAGAACTTGAGAATAAGCTGAAGGAAAAAGAGAATTAAGAAATTAGGACCCAAAGAAAAAGAATCCAGAAGGAGGCATAAGAGAGAGTAATTAGCAAAGCAAGGTAAGAAAATTTAAGTAAAACAAATTTGTAAAACAAGTTGGTGTGTAAGATAACTTGTTCCCACAAATAAGAAGTTAGTTAGAAAAGGGAAAGACAGTGAGGCTTGTTCATCAATTTATTGAGTCCAA